ACAAGCATGCTGAGAAAAAAAGACTTTATTTTGAATTAAGAATAATAAATGATTTTACCACAGTGAACTCCAGGCTATCCAACTTTGATGAACTAGAATGAGACTTACAATAGCTAATCTTAGCTAGAGGAATTCTTTAGCACTTTTTACCAGTATCACTTTTAGTAAACCACTTAATTTCTCTGAGCTCAAATTCTTTACCAGTAAAATACCCATTTGCCTATTTAATTACAACAGAGTTGTAATTAATCTTATATCTGACCATGCACATGGATACAGTGTTGACTAGGACCAAAACTGGTGTGCTGCCTGTTTTTGTATATAAAGTTTTACCAGAAAACTTTTTTTGCCCATTTGTTTACCTGCCTTTCCCCTGGCTGCTGCTTCACTGGGCAACGTCAGAGTTGAATGGTTGTGACAGAGATGATGGCCTGGATTGCTGAAAAGTTTGCTACATAGAGTTTTATAGAAAAAAAACATCTTGCAGGCTCTAGAGTAAAGTATTTTAAAAAATCACAAGCAGGTGCTATTATTTTTATCATGTTATTCCCAAACTACTCTGAGTCCATGATCAGTCACATAGTTGCATTTTTGTAAATAATTATTTTTTTAAAAAAATAACTTTAATCTAGGCAGAGGTTATCCTGGCTAGTGGAGGAGATGATCCTTTCAATACAAAGCATGTTTGCTCTAAATGAACTGATTGACATCAGGTTTATAAAGCAGTCTATAAATAATTTGGTGACTTTTTAGTTAGTCGAGGCTCAACTAAAAACTCTGAAATCTAAAATCTGAGGAGAACCAGTTCCTCTGAAGTCATAGCTGTTCTTCACACATCACAGACCAAGCAAGGAGTCTGCTACTTTAACTCAACTTTACTGTGCTTCCCACAAGAGTATCAGGTATTTATGTGAACATGGAATCAAAAGGCAAACTACTTCTAAAAGACACAGCATACCTACTTTGATATTTCTCCTTTTCCCCCAGGGCTGTCTTCGTTAACTGGGGACTAGTAACCAAGTTGTCAGCTATTGCAGGGTGCAATGGAGTGAGAGTAACAGACAGATATTATGGGAAAAGGAATCAGGTAGATTTGATGAAAGGCTAGGATTATGAATAAATAATAATTTCAAATGTTATCTTATAATTGAATGAAAACTGATGAAAAATAGTAACAGGGCATCCAGCAATAGGAATGCAACATACTCAAGTAAATGCTATCATTCTTGGGGAATAAGTTGGTTAACAGTTAACCACCTGCCATGTATTAAAAAACAAGAGGCTTTCTGGAAGTAGAACAATTTTGACATAGAGATGCTATGATTTTGCCAAATGCTGATGAATCCCCAAAAGATAATTATATCAGCCTGAGAAGACTATAATTATGAAAATAAAGATTTTAAAAATGCTATAGGTTTTCAGCCACAATCACTGGACAATTTTAAATTTGGAAGTGACTGTCATTGTGCTCGGCAGATTTTAAATCTTTTCCTCCCTACCAACTGTTCTCATTTGCCTGAAAAACTTCCAGTTCTGTCTTTATCTCTTTTCTCTGTTTCTCTTCTCTTTTACCTCTTTGTATCCTCTCCTCTGCTAACTCCTCTCACAGCCACAAGTGCTCTTAATAAAACTTAGATCTGTGGAAACCTGTGCTCCTTCAACAGTGAATGGAAAGAAAAGTGTTTTCTTAGTATGTCACAATGGCTGCTTCTGAACTCATTAAAGAGCACTCCATAGTGCCTACAAGTTCAATTCCAGGACTTTGTCCCACAGGCATGCAAAGTGTGTTCTTTGAGGCACATGGATGGAAAATGTGAAGCTGAGAGAATCAGAGAGCAGAATTAATAGGAGCAATGGAGGAAAACAGGAAGAAGACAGGTTGTTGGGAGTTGAACTGACACAGCCCCAGACACATGGTAGGAGAGAAGAGCTGACCCACAGGGCTATGTACAGCATAGGCTATATACATTTTTTTGTTTGTTTTAACTCCACATCATACTATAGAGAATCCCATATTATTTTGCTGTTGGAGCATCAGCTACTTGGAAACAACCCCAAAGTATCCAAGATAACTAGATGATTTATCTGAATGTCTTTTTCATTGACACTATGTCAACAAGAAAGATGTCAAAGGGAAAGAAGAGAGTGTTAGGTTGCCTAAGGTTTTTATTATGTACACTATTAAACTTGATAGGGGAAGTCATGTGACATAAAGTGCCCTCAGTTATTTTGCCTGTAAGAAGATGAAAATAAGCTTAAGAGTAGGCAATACCAAGATGAGGGAAATTTGTTTAGCTGGAAAGTTGGCCTCTAAGGAAAGTGCAGGAATCTGATTTAGAATCCAAGTCGAGGGAGCAAATTTATTCTCCATCTGGGTTTGAATTGATGTTCTGAGACTCAAATCAGGTGGTGGGGCCCAGCAGCTGGAGTTTCCCAGCAGTAGTGTGGCTCAGAGACAGGTGGCTGGGAGTGTTGGTTTCTAGAGTGTGGTGTCCTTCTGGGATGAAAGCAGCTTTCTAGCTAGTTGTTGGGAGAATGGAGAGAGAGTCAAACTCCTTGGGAAATTGAGATTCTGTTAGAACCTTGATGAAATTGTTGGAGCACAGAAACAAGATTCAAACCTAGTCAGTAAACTGGAGTATAAATCAGGACCTGAGACAGTTTCTAGGTCCCACGATAGCAGCCTAGGAGGTTGGGCTGAAGAAAGAAAACTGCTTGACAGGCACAAAAGCAACTTGGCACTTAACTCCTGTTACAGACTGAGAGTTATTCCAGACTCCAGTTCACAATTATGCAGTCAAGCTTGCTCATTTGGTTCAGGCGTGGAGAGGGCAGAGTGAGAGGCAATAGAGGTGATAATAAATGACATCCCTGGTGAAATCATAAGAAATGTTTTGAATGGTGCTGACAATTCAAAAGATCCTGAAGACACAAGCAAAGAAGATAATTTTCTGGAGGGCAAGCAAAACAGTTCAAGGATGATTACTTCAGTCTTTAATTTATTAATTTATTCTTTAAAAAGTTAGTGATATTCTATTGCCCTGAAGTATAGATAACTCAACATTACTCACTTCGGTTTCACAAGAAAAATGCAAGTGAGCAAAAAAGCAAGCTAATCATTTAGTTTATATAAAATGCAAGTGTCTGGGGGTTGTCTTTGAATCCACACTGTTACTCTGTATGTCCTGTATCAAGAGAAACCATGGCATGCAGAAGTGATGCCATGATAATTATAAGTAATTGATAAAATGTGAAATTTGGAAACATTGTACTTAAGGCATGAAACATATTTACTCTTTAGTGAGCTGTTTTAAGAATTTATACTAACATTTTAAATACTTTCAAAAATATAATTCATGCAAATTTTAATCTTCAAGCCTATATTATATAATATCAGATCTCATTCATGTTTCCTAACTATGGAAATCTATGTAGCAATTTAATTATAGTAATGTTTCTATAGCTATGCTAAGGTAAATTATTTAGTAGATGCAACATGTTTTCATTCATAATATATATGTGGTTATGAATATTTATGCCCACATTTGCCCATTGTGTGATCGTTCTGAGAGGAATGAAATTTTGGCAGATCATGATAATTATCGTTAGTGAGTGTTCACTATTCATCAGACTCTGTGCTAAGTGACTTCATGAACATTAACTCATTTATGCTCAGAAAAATTCTATGTCACAAATATTCTTATTCTGATTTTACAAAGGAGGAAACTGAGAGTTCAGATTCTAGAGCCAAAAAGTAGAGAAACTGCATAAGGCCCTAGAATTAGAAGATGGGGAACTGGAACTCAAACCAAAGTCCATATTGAAGAGTATTCATCTTCATAACTGACATGCTACATTAATCACTCACACAACTAAGTTTCCTCCTAATCAACACACTACAATACTCACACAACTAACTTCATTCATTTGTGAAACCACAGTGGTACAGTCAATTTATGCACAAGCCAGTTGGCTGCATACATCAAAGAACCCAATGAACCAGTGTTTCATTACCACCATGAGTGACCACTGCTTGACATATCTCTGCCTGTAATTTTAGTACAGTTGGGCAAGACTTAGGAACTATTTTAAAGTAAAACTTGTGGATGAATTATTCTTTAAAGCCCACAGTTGATGCTTTGGTATCTAATATAAAGGGCAGTAATTTATTAAGTTTCTTAATACAGTTTTACTTTAACTAATTCAACAGAAAATGGTAAAAAAGAAGAATGTGTCACTGTGGGCAAAGCCATTTACTACTCTGACTCAGTTTGACCATTTGTAAAATAAGGACCTGGATTAGTTATTTTAAAGGTTTCTTTTATTTTTGAAACTTCAATATTCTAAGCATCTAATTAATTGCCAGTTGAATTCTATTTATTAGAAATAATGTAAGACAGAAGAAACTAGCATTCACTCGATTGTTTCATGTACCTGCAGAGTATAGAGGTGACAATCATGCACACACACAAACACACATTCACTTGTTTAGTAAGTTTGTTACCTTAAATAATATATAGTAATATAGTCTAATATAGTAGTCTTGCATAATATGTGACTTGCTGTGCATTATAGAGAAAGCATGCCAGGATTAAGAAGTTTTATTTAATTTTCCAGAGATCTCAATCATGAGGTATGACACTGGTAGTATTTTAAAGCCACCTTTATCAAACTCCAAAGCTAATACACCTTTTACGTGACTAATCTTCAGTTTATTCAGAAAAGCACTGTTTAGAACACACTATGTATTAGTTAGGAAACAAATACAACATGAAATTACAGTGGCTTAGTGCAGAAAGATTTATTTCTTCTTATGTAATTTTTTGAGACAATCTTGCTACATAGCTCAGACTGACCTCAGAGTTGCATTCTTCCTGCTCTCCCTCCTGAGTGCAGGGATTGCAGGTTTACATACAGCTTTTATGTGAATTTAATAACAGATATTATTATTATTATTTTTTTAACCTTTTATCTGTGTATTCAGAATCACACACAAGTTACCTTTACAGTTCAATTTACTATATATAGAAATCATTTGGGTTTTATATTTTCAGTTAAATTTTGAACTGAGATTACAATATATAAAAAGATTTTACAATAGTTCAGTATTTTTTAGCATACCAAATTGAAATACATAGGTTCAAACTTCAGATTTAAAGCAGTCTTCAAATACAACACAGACATTTCTTAAAGTTACCTTATCATTCACATGTGGTATTTGCAACTCGGCTGCCTCACTACAACAGCTCTCCTAGGGAGATGGCAAAACTGACGCCATGAAACTCAAGCCTGTATAGTCAAGCCAAGGATTCAGAGTTATGCCATCTTTAAAAAGGTATGGCATTTCTGGACCACAACAATGCACAACATAAGAAGGTAGGGAACACTTCCTCCTCCTTGTTACAGTTAAAAACATTGCATGGTTGCTTGAAATTTTGCATAAAACCCCGTATTATACCTTGGAAAACTCCAAGGGCAATTAGATGACAATGAATTGGGGTCCTAAATTCTTGTTTTTTCTAACTAATAGAACCCATGATATTCAAATGGGTGTTAATCAAATCAAAAAATATTAAGCACCTACTGGTTTGAGATTGAAATTAGAGATTCATGATCAATTTCTCTCCACCTTGAAATCAAGGTGTGAAAACCAGCTAGTTAAGTGCATTCCAAACTTCTCCTATGTAGTACAGGTAGAATTTTCTGTCCATTGGCACCAAAGTGAAGTCACATTTCCTCTTGGGAGACAGAAATTCCACATTTGAACATAGAATAAGTTAGGAAGAAATGACCCCTGTAGTTTGTTTTATTACTATTGTGATTCTGAGATCTAAGATCACTATATACTAGCAGTGAACAAAGCAAATTCCTGGTAAAACTGTCAGGTTAGTGACATTAACTCCTTCCCCAACTACCATAAAATTCTAGTATGAAAAACATTAAAAGTAATTACTAAGTTGAACAAGTGGGAATAATAAGAAACTAAGGGAATAGTTCAACCCAATAACAACCAAAAAGTCCTAAATTTGAAATCACTGCAATTGAGAAATTAAAGAAAGTGTGCTTTACCCCACCCCCTCCCCATTCTAAATTTACATATTCTGTGCAAAAGAGCAACAGATTTCAGGATATAGATGTAGCCCTTCTTTAAATTCTAGTGCTCGCAGTTTTCTGCAATTTTATTCCCCTCCCCTACCAAGTTTATTCAAAGTATTTAATAGAATCTTCCATGTCAGCCAGACTTGTGATTTAAAGATTTACTAAGGTACTCTATGCATTCTATCTATACAGAAACACTTATTAATTATTACAGTTGGTTTATGCAATTAACAATTTTTGGTGTTAAAATTATTAAAACATCATGCTTACTGCACATCAACTCTCCATAATAAATCTGAACTTCACAATGATTTACCAACCACTTTAAATTACTAATTAAATAACTGAAAAATGTACTGAGTCAAACTAAACTTAAGTGGGCTAAAAGAAAAATAACCCTCAAAACAGACCATATACACATCTATTTCAAAACTACCTTTGCTAGCTAGCCCCTTTCCCAAAGCTTTAGCCTGAAAAAACAGTAAAACTACACAAAAATTTATTGCAATCATACAGGGTTATATCAGGTCAAATACAACAAGTACTATGATGCAAGTTTACATTTATTAGACTACAGTTCAAAGCACAAATTTACACATTCTAAATACACTAAACATATCTAATGAAGTCACACTGGTCTTCCACTGACATTTGATGTATCTGGGTGAAAGACATTAACTTTACAAGACTTTTTAACACGAATCCTTAGTATAAAAACTGTGTACTTGTATGTAAACGGTTTAATGGGGAACCCAATTAATGGGCTTCCATCTCCACTAAGTCACCCATTTTGTTGCATATTTTATTTAAACGCTTAAGGGGTAGGACAAACTGATATTTAAATCTGGATACATTATCTAAATCTCCCACTACCCCCAATGAATTGTAGATGAAGCTGATTTTGTCTGGTCCCAAATAGCTATTAGTATTAATTTTTGTTTCCAAGAGAATAGCAGAATAGATTGAATTTTTTTTTTCCACACTGGAATGTAGACCAGACAAGCTTAACCTGCTACTTCAGATCTATGGAAGCATTAATGCCTGTTTAAGCTTTAGCGGAAAAGCTGTCTTCTTGGCTTAGCTGTATGCAAGAAGATGCAAAGAAGAAGTTCTTCATCATTGTGTCTGAAGTAATTCCAGCATCTTGCATCTCATACCAATCACTGAATGACATCATGTAATAAATAGCTGGCCTCTGAAAATCATTAAAAGCAGATGGTTCATGGAAAGAATCTGCTCCCATGTTATCAAAGATAAGCCAATCTCCCACATTCAGCTCAGGAAGAAGACAGCTTTCCACAATTTGATCAAGCTCATCACAGGATGGACCCCAAAGACTGCTTGTAAATAAAGGCTCATCTTTCTTGTCTTTCTTATGAAACTCTGGAATGGTATTTAAGTCCTCAGACAGTTTACTTGCAAAAGAACCATAAACACCATCATTCATATAATACATGAACACTGGTTCATCTCTCCTGGTTTTTTCTACTCCAGAGGAAATTGTATCATTTTCAACAACTTTCTTAGCAATGATATTAACTGCAAGTGTAAATGCAGAAGACACATAGTAGCTTCCAGGTTCTGAAATTATCTTAATGCCAGAGCCTTCTGGAAAGTAGATATCCAACAGAGGGCTGATAACGTGATTAACGTCTTCCAACAGGAATTCAGTTCCGGTGAAGCCTCCACCAATGTCTAACATGTTCATTTTAAATCCAAATTCTCCAGCCATGTCAAACACACATCGAGCATCAGATAGAGCATGTACATATACTTGAGATTCTTTGCAAGCACTTGAAACATGAAATTGAACCCCAATTATTTGGACATCAAGTTCCTTAGCACATTCCAAAAGATGCCTACAGTTCTTCAGAGTAGTGCCAAACTTCATGTTACCCTCTTCACCTCCAATATTATCTTCTGTTGCAATATGTAGTAAGACCTTGGCATGTGGGTGATTACGTGCAATTTTCTTCAATTCAATTTCATTGTCACATGTCATGATATTTACTCCAACTTTTGCTGCATACTTTATCTGAGAAATTTGCTTGCAAGGACTTATGTAAATGATGTTTTCTGGAGATACACCCAATTCTTGCACTAAAACCATCTCATTTTTGTTGGAACAAGCAAACCCAATTCCAAGAGCTGCCAAAATCTCAAGTACAGCTGGAGAAGAGTTGCACTTCACTGTGTAAAATGGCTTTATCTGGGCCACCACATTCTGCCATTGACTGTGTTTCTTCACAATCTTTCCAAGATCCCCCACAAAAAATGCATTTTTCCCTGTCAGAGTATGTTCATAAACATAGTTATCAATAACATTTTCGAGATTTGTTCCTTTATCCAACACACCAACGGAGTAGTTTGCATCATCAATAAATCCTTTCATCTCAGCCGTATTCCACAAAGCCGAAAGTCATAAACCAGGAAAAACAAGAGATGGGCCACCAAGCCTGTGTCTGGGTCCTTAGAATATGCAACAAAATGGACAAGTTAGGAGATGGAACCCCCCTATCATCAGCTAGGTTCCCAAGGTGGCTCAGCGTTGAAGTCGAACTGCTCTCTATACAGCACTTCTCCTAGGCCCTCTGGGTAGTTGTATACTTGGTCAGAAAGTTCGCCGTGAGATAACGGCCCAAAGAGTCGGGTAAAGCGTCTTCTCTTTTTCGGCGGAATTTTTAAAGAGGGATGTGGTTACCTTGAGCAGAAATACCCAAGGCGGCCTGGGCCATAGGCTGCAGGGACGACGTGGGAGGAAAAGCGCGGCTCCGACACCAGCTGGGCAGCAGTGGCGGCGGTGGCCGAAGGAGAGAATAACAGATCTTAAATGGTTTCGGGAGAAGAAAGACAATGTAGGACATATAGCCACTTCTAATGTCTTGTGATTGTGTGACACCTATCGATCCCATTTATATCCCCACAAGACAGCCTAATCACCCAGCCTTGACTTAATATTAAGCACAATTTGGAAAGAGGGTATCTCATTTTCAGAAGAAGAAACATGAAATTGGATTTTGTGAAACTCTTACACTATTCTGTCTGTGCCTTATCTCCATCGCAGATCAGGATACAGGCAACTAAAAGGCTGCTGCATTAACTTCTGTTGTGCTTGCAGACAAGAAGTGGATAGATAACATGGAGTTTGTTTCTTCCTGTAGTTGAATTCTTTATTTAGAAATTTCCAGAAAGCTGGAATATGATAGGATATCAGACCCTTCCTTCCCTCCCTTCTTTCATTTATTCTTTCTTCCTCTCTCTCTCTCTCTCTCTCTCTCTCTTTCCTTCTTTTGACACAGGATCTCACTATGTAGCCAAGGCAGGCCTTGAACTCATGATTCCTCCTGTCTTAGCATCTTGAGTGATCAGATTACAGATATACCTTATCATGCCCAGTTTACAGAGGCTTACTTTTGATGTGGAAGTCCAGTGGCTTTTCTGTTTTTTGTGTTCACTGTTTTACCTCCAGCATCTCTCCCAGAGTACAGACACACACATTTGTCATGAGAACTTGCTGTGTGCTTTGTAATGATGGTGGAGGATCAGGTAGTGAAGCTGTTTGTGTTGCAACACCTAACCGAAGAGCCTCTGAATGAAGGTAAATATTTAGAAAGACACCAGTGGCATTTTGAAACGCTGCAACAATGCAAGCTTTGGAGTCAACTAATCTCTCAATCTCAATGAATCTCCACTAAAGAAGACAATATTTGTCCATAAGGTTGTTTCTGGCCAAAGGCCTGACTTTTTTGCTGAAACAGAATTCACAAATGTGGATACATTCAAGTGAATGATGTCCAGAGCCCTTTAGAAGAGCAGGTGGAGCAGGAGCACTTCTAGTCTTTGTATATTCTTGACTCAAGTGTCCTTTGCTGCTTGCCAGGGAGCTCAGGACTGCAAAGATGACATTTCAGTGATGTAGCATAACCCAGACCTGTAGTTCTTAACCTTTCCAAGTATAAGATTTTCTGTAAAATGTCAAACTTTTCACAATCCCAAGAGATACTATTTGTATGCTTTGCCTCAGTTTCTGAAGAGTTACAAAACAATAAAGGTCTTATTGAAATCAATAGCAGTTGTAAATGCTTTACTAATTACAGCTAGAGGTATTTGGAAAATAGTCAAATGCAAGACAATTTTTCATTCAGTCAATTAGGTTATGTGATATAGATTTGATAATGCTTTGCAATAACTCTGAGGACCATTGGTTGAGCAGTGCTGAATTTGGCTAAAGGATTGAATTAAATGAACACTAAGCTTGAGGATGGTATGCAACACACTACGTATACAGTTGATATCTATGGGCACATTGAATAGGTTTAATTATTGAAAACAGGGCACCTGATTATGAATATCCCACTATTCATTAGGAAAAAGTATGTGCAGAGTATAAGTGTGTTTGAATATTCATTCATTCCTTTGCTCTTCTAGTCATTGAAGGTGGTAAACACTAATATTAGAAGCTAGTGCTTATATAATAATTAATATCTACTAGATAGATGTTTGGTATAACATATTCTAAGATATGTTGATCTTATTATTAATTCTGTTGCACAAATGAGAATATGTGGGATGAGTGATGGGTCAACTACTGTAGTATGAGGTTTCCCAATCAGAATATTTAGTGCTCATATCTGAACTCTTAATCATTTACTGTATTGCTTCTCAAAACAATTACTATGGTTCCTGTTTTGTGCCTCGTGAAACTTATAGTCCCTCAGGCAAAATGTAAACAAACTTCACAAATTTATAAATAGATAAACTCTGAGATAGAAAGTGAATATTGGGCACCTATTTCCTATAGTGGTGCCTGGGAACCCCTATAGGAAATGACATTGGTGGATTTAAATAAGGATGTGCTCAAGCTTAGTCCATCACAACAGCCTACCACTCTCTTTTAAGGGACTAATCTATGTCCATGTCAGGTGTCAGACTCCCAAGCAGACATTGTGGTGGGGAATACGAGAACTCTCTGGGCTGTGATTTTTCAATTCCCCCAGATTGCTCACTCTCAAAACTTACCTGCTTGCAAGAAGCATCACAAATGTGATCTGCCGACAAAGGCTAGGTGCTTTGTTTTGGATTTTTCCAGAGGCAGTTAGAGAAAGCCAGCAATACTGGGCCTTTCCCTTCTTGTACAATGTGATTATCCCCTCCTATACATTGTGGCCAAATGTCTCAAGACACCTGGAGCAGTGATTCCTCTTTGTTTTCAAGACCACTGGCCCTAGTATCTCAGACTTGATCAAGAGGTGCTCTCTCAAGATAGCACCTTGCCACAGCTCTCTGAGATATGGGGAATGAAGGATGATCTTGCCTGCTGCTGATCTGTCATGCTGGGGAAGTTGCTGTCTCATCATATCCCTGCACTAGGGATAGGGTTTGCTGGCAGTGTAATTTTTGTCCCATTGCTCACTATGCTAGTCTGTTATGGAGGCTGCCTGGCTTACCTTCAGGTGGAGGCTTCAGCTTCCCCTCCTTGCCTGGGAGAACTGGGGCTGGAGCTAAAAACTATTTCTTGATTTACTCTGTCATCTTTCAGTTTCACTTTATTTTTCAGTTGTTCTGTCACTTTTTTGTTTCTTAGTGCTGTTCCTCTCTTGCTTTTCTGTATCTAGTCCTTCTTTGTTATGCAGACTCTTATTCATTGGGTCTGATGAAGAAAGCTTCTACTCCTCCACTACATTGCCCGTCTCTTCTCTCATCACATATTTGTCATTTGTATACCTTGGTAATCCATGAGTTAATAAAAACTTTCACAAAAGTTTGATTTTTTTTTTTTTTAGGAATTGCTTTTAGTTTGTGACTTATTGCAAAGTTGTAACATGGGACCATTTACATTCTTTTACTTTCATTTATCACATCCTATAAGAAGTCTTAGTGTGAATTATATTAAGAAAGTGAATGAAAAGTAAACAACATCCATTAATTTTAAGCTAGCAGCATACAAGGAGGACTCATTAGAGCCATGCAGTCAATCTCTTTGTATTTTGTATTGCTTTCACCTTGTTCCAGAAACTGAAGATTTGGACAGTAAGATATGGGTGTAAAGAGGTCAGCTCACTGCCATCTGCACTATTACTCCTGATTCATATGTCTTTACTGCTTTCACCCAAGAACCCTGCTTCCCACGTTTCAAGGACACACTGGTGTCTTATTAATCTAGATGCATCCATAGCTATCTGCTGTTCGATCACGTTTGCTCTAAAGCACATGTATCACACAGAGAAAGCCCTAACCTTTGGGAGGAGGAGGTGAAAACAGTCTTCCTTTAGCAACTGCTCCTGTTGTATATAAAAACCTCAACCTCTCTGCTTATATTCATATATTTGGGAGATTCAAATGTCTTTTCACTTTGAAAGACCCTCTCACTTGTCTATCTCTTTGGTTTTCTTAACTCCTCTTAAATTTCTGGTGTGACTTTTCATATATCTGAGGAGACCTATCATGATTAATTTGTAAGTTGGCTCTTGTGCCTAATTTGAGGACTTTTTTTCATACATTTCCTTGTAATATATTATAGATATTGACCTGATGCATTTTTCTAAGTTCTGAGGGAGCTTCAATAGAGTTGATGCAGTCTCATTCCCTTCATAAACTTTTCTCCTGAATAGCCTAACAATCAATACCCAGTATGAACCTGTCCCTCCTCAATCTCTCTTTTTTTTTTTTTTAGGAAATATTTATTGCATGCTTATCTTATGACATGTACCTTGCAAACTACTATGGAAATAGTTTGGAAAAATTCATAATCTCGATCCTGAAGATAATAATTTTTAGAGATAGGAGAATGAATGTAAAAATTGTGTGTGTGTGAATATGCAACATAAGCATGTAATTTCTAATAAAGGTGATCTTTTGCTGAATAGTTATGATGGGCCAACTTTATTCCAAGATTTTAACCCATATGAGTCCATTTGACATTCACAATAACTTTATGAGCTCGGTAGTTTATTATGCCAAAATTTTAGGTTCAAACTTTGTGCAAAGGAGGTGGGAGTCCAACCCAGCCACGTTTACTTCAGGGCTTGCATTCTTTTCTAGCATGGTGTACACATTTAAAGTGCCCTATGCAATCATTAGTTTCTTAATACCCTTACTAACCCCTGCATCTAGATTAATCTTGTAAAACAAAGTTTACAGATCTTGATTTTCCTATTTTAGTCCTCTTGGTGGTTTGTCCCTATAGATTCTCATGTGATACTACTGCTCCCATTTAACTAGAAACTATCAAGAATGTTTTACTGCTGAAGCTTTCTACTTCAGTCACATTGATTAACCTTTCTCCTGGATGCTCATTTTCATGCTGTACAATTTTCCAAGTGGTCTCCCTCACAGAGAGAATATCTTCCTAACATACCACCCTGAATGCACCTGATTTCATCTGATCTCCAAAAGTAGCAGAGTTGGGCCTGGTTAATATGTGGATGGGATAATACCTTCCTGTTTCCAACCAATCCAGTTCCGGTACATTTTTTTGTTTTGTTTTTATTGTTGTGCAGGGGGTACATTGTGGCATTTACAAAAGTTCTTGCAATATATATCAAATATATCATACTTGAATTCACCCTGTTCATCTTTCTCCTTTATTCCTTCTCTCCCTGTTCCTGGAATGTTTCAACAGGTATCATGTTTCCATTTATATACATGTGTACACAGTATTTGCACTATATTCACCCTTCTATATCTTTTTTTCACATTCTCTCCCCTCCCACTGATACTAAGCCTCCCAGACAAGATCTGTATCACCCACTTGTTCTCCAATTTTGTAAAGAAAAACAATTGACTTTTTTGTTTAAGATAGCTACATAGGGAGTTTCC